CGAACGCGACTTGCCCGGAAGAACACCGCGTTCCGATATATTCCACCCTCTCGATTCCGATATTTCCAGCCGCGACTTTCCGACTGTACGAATCCAGCCCGATCTATCATCAGCAAGAAGTTCGTTTCAGCGAAAAAAGTTCCAGCTTAATTTGCCGGCCGTGAAAAAATTCCCCGGCACAGATTTCGCGCGAGAGAGCATTCCTTCGTCGGCGATCGGTGTCCGGCTGACAAAGAACGAGCCACGATGATCGCACGGAAGCGGAAGGGAGACGGAAACGAGATAAAGGGAGACGGAGAAGACGAGCGAGTAAAACGAGAAAGAAGAGGCACTTGTAGGGGGTCAGAGGTCGCTCGAATTTCACACGTGGATTAACTCTCCGTCGAGTGGAGTGTACTCCACCTCCTCGTTCAACTTCCTCTCTCGTTCCTTGCTCGTGTACGCTCGTTGCTACACGAATTCCGAGATCCACCCTGTGCAGCCGCTAATGAACGTCCGCGCGGCCTGCGACATAACCCTCCGACCACCCCTCGCGCCAACCCCCTCCCCGTACACCCCTCGATATACGGTACACGTACACGGGAGTGCATGACAACGACCACCTGAACGATCAAGTCCAGGATGCCGTTAGAGAGAGGTCGATATACTCGCGCTGCTGATCGTATTAAATCTCCTTCGACCTGAGCTTTTCGTCCCTGTTCCTGTCCCTACCCCTATGCCTCTCTCCCTTCGTGTCCATCGATCTCGTAATTCAAGCTGACTTCAAATAAAACCGTCAGTCAAGTATTACCAACCCCCTCCCCTTCTCCGCCATTACCACCCCCTTTTCCACCGAGCGTCGAAGAAGATCGACGGGGACACAGGCTGCTTCTACCGAGCTAGAAAACACCTGCGTTCGATATTCCTATCGCGTTCACGGTTCGACGTTCGTTTTACCTACGATTTTTTACAATTTTTGCCCGCGAACGTTTAAGGGTAGTTCTCGATCGATCACGCACAGCAACCGTGTCACGACTGCTAACCGCGAAAGTTACGATTTCCGATTTTGCTATTACTCTGATTTACCTGAAGTAAACACAATTTTATTATCACTAGCCTGATTTACCTAAAAATGCTTGTAAAGGTTCCTAATAATTGTTAACCTAACGGTAAAGCGTTACTCGAGTCATCAAAGAATAAGCAAGAAGTTAGTATTATCATTCAATAGATAACGTTCTTATCAACTTATTTCAAGTTTGACTGAAAATTTAAAACGTCATCCAGTAAACTACCAGCTCTCGCGCGAATGCATTTTGCAGGACGCGTGTTTCGAATAAAATCGAACGAAATCGTAAAACTCGCTCTAGCAAACGGTTACACCGTGTAAATCAACGCGAAACAATACCGGTTATAGTTTCCTCGAACAAGTAGCTCCATTTGCCAGATACATCCCGGCACGACCGTGGATGCCACAACATTTATGGTGGCCCACATTTTCTATTCACCTTCGTATTACGACGTTGTGTCGAAAAGGGCAATAGTGTCGTTGTAAGGCATTATTCAACAAAATGCAAATAGAATGACAAATTGCTCGTTTGCAGTCGAAGAAACGGTCTATTACTTAGAGTAGCGTTTAAAGAAGCTCTCGGTTCCGAGAAAGGTTTCTACGGAAGGGTTGTTACTGCCACGTTTAACAACGATTCAACGAGGCAGCTCGGTTTCTGACCAGTTAGAGCTGCGAGTATCGGTCGCCTCGTAAAACCGAAATCTACCAAGAATTACACGGGAGTGCATGACAACGACCACCTGAACGATCAAGTCCAGGATGCCGTTAGAGAGAGGTCGATATACTCGCGCTGCTGATCGTATTAAATCTCCTTCGACCTGAGCTTTTCGTCCCTGTTCCTGTCCCTACCCCTATGCCTCTCTCCCTTCGTGTCCATCGATCTCGTAATTCAAGCTGACTTCAAATAAAACCGTCAGTCAAGTATTACCAACCCCCTCCCCTTCTCCGCCATTACCACCCCCTTTTCCACCGAGCGTCGAAGAAGATCGACGGGGACACAGGCTGCTTCTACCGAGCTAGAAAACACCTGCGTTCGATATTCCTATCGCGTTCACGGTTCGACGTTCGTTTTACCTACGATTTTTTACAATTTTTGCCCGCGAACGTTTAAGGGTAGTTCTCGATCGATCACGCACAGCAACCGTGTCACGACTGCTAACCGCGAAAGTTACGATTTCCGATTTTGCTATTACTCTGATTTACCTGAAGTAAACACAATTTTATTATCACTAGCCTGATTTACCTAAAAATGCTTGTAAAGGTTCCTAATAATTGTTAACCTAACGGTAAAGCGTTACTCGAGTCATCAAAGAATAAGCAAGAAGTTAGTATTATCATTCAATAGATAACGTTCTTATCAACTTATTTCAAGTTTGACTGAAAATTTAAAACGTCATCCAGTAAACTACCAGCTCTCGCGCGAATGCATTTTGCAGGACGCGTGTTTCGAATAAAATCGAACGAAATCGTAAAACTCGCTCTAGCAAACGGTTACACCGTGTAAATCAACGCGAAACAATACCGGTTATAGTTTCCTCGAACAAGTAGCTCCATTTGCCAGATACATCCCGGCACGACCGTGGATGCCACAACATTTATGGTGGCCCACATTTTCTATTCACCTTCGTATTACGACGTTGTGTCGAAAAGGGCAATAGTGTCGTTGTAAGGCATTATTCAACAAAATGCAAATAGAATGACAAATTGCTCGTTTGCAGTCGAAGAAACGGTCTATTACTTAGAGTAGCGTTTAAAGAAGCTCTCGGTTCCGAGAAAGGTTTCTACGGAAGGGTTGTTACTGCCACGTTTAACAACGATTCAACGAGGCAGCTCGGTTTCTGACCAGTTAGAGCTGCGAGTATCGGTCGCCTCGTAAAACCGAAATCTACCAAGAATATAAAACGCACGCTTTTCGAAACTACGGTGGGAAGTAAAAAAGTTAGAGAAGTTTGAATAAATTGTTGCGGGAGAAACGGAAAATGTAGCTGGAAGTTTCGAGAAAAAATTTCTGTCAGGAATTCTAAGCTAAATGTCATACACGAAATTTAGACACTATTTTAAAAAATGTGAAAAGAAATCTTGCAATTTTTCTGAGTGTATGAAAGTTTGCAAGGGGAAACGAAAAGTACTTGCAGCATGGAAGTGCAGTATCTTATACTCGCACTGTTGCGTTAAAAGGAAAAGGGCAGAAGTACGGTACTGTGAGGTGGAAATCGGAAGAATGGTCCTGTAAATTGTGAAGGCATGGGAGTCAGGGAGCAATAATAGACCAATAAAGAGTTATTTCGTTAATTGGAGGGAGCTGACCTCTGAACAACCCTTGCCTACTCTCCCCGAAAACGGTACACAACCCCAAGAAAACCATTGGTCACTGTAAATTATCCAGTTTCGCGGACCGAACCAGTTAGACTCGCTCATGGGGGTCCACCGTAAAAGGAGCACGCATAACGGGTTCGCGAAAATTTACGATTTCGGTGACTGTTTGGGGTACCCGTGGCGTGCAACTCGTTCAACAACTCGTCCATCTTTCTTTTCATCACCTTCAAAGGGATTCCTTCGCGTTACTTCTACGAAACGCGTTCACAATTTTCTCCGGCTTTGCGATCATTTTCAAACACAAAAAAGGGAAGTTGGTATTTTACGTCGCCAAAAATATCGAGCAAGATTTACAGTCGGAGAACGTTTTTGCGCGAAAAAACAACGGTTTTTCTACGTGACCGTTCTTCTTCGGACCCGAAATTTTTACCGTTTCTTTTGTGAAAATTTTTGAGGAAAAAACGGGTTGCCTACGCGTTTTACGATAACGGTGCTTTATGAATTTATGCCAACTCTCGAGCCCGACAACCCCTTACCATCCGTGCGTTCTTGACTTTTACGGGTTGTAAGGCTGCTGCGGACTTATCGCTAGCCTTCTCGCGTATTTTTTCTTCTTTTTTTACAACCACCCTTTCGCTATTCACTCGTTGCCCAGGGTTAAATTAACTTTATTACGGGACGAAAGGCTTAGCGGTGGAAAAGTCAACTGGATGGAATTTCTAACCCGTCACTCTTTTGGCCGATGTTTTATGATTTTTCGGGAAAGGGTCGAGGTACCGTTTTTTCTCCTCTTTTCCTCTGCGCTGCATGTGGGTCACTATGCACGGCCCGTTACACGAACTTCTACATTTTTACCGTTTTTTCCTCCCCCTTTCACCCTTCATTCCGGACATCCAGGTACATCGGCTGTTTTACCCTATCGTTTTAGGGTTATGGACGATCGATCTACCCCTTGCAAATCATTCGACACCGGGGGACTCTTTTTACTCGCATATTTTTTTCAGTGTTTCGCTTCGCAGCTTTCGGAAAGTCTTAAGCTAATTTATATCTTTATTTTCCTAGACTTTCTACGACGCTTCTTTACGACTTGACGCGTGATTTTTCAAGGTTTAACCCCTTGCACTCGTAACGCACTCCTATTACGTCATACTTCGTGATCAATTTTACTCGAATTTTAAAAACTAATATAACATTACTGATAGATTTAATATGATTTTTTATTTTTTATTTTGATATGATTTTTATTTTTTTTATTTTGATTTTTTATTTATTTTATTTTGAAGTTTGCATTTATGTATTTGTATTGCGCGTTCCAAAGAGAACTGAAATGCAGCACAATTGCGATCTTTTTTGACAAATGAATATTACCGATCGTCATATTGCACTTCTTCGCGTACAATTTTATACATATTTGTTCTAAATAATCGAATTTTGCGGAAGTTATTCAACAAATATTGTCTAATACTATAGCTGTGATTAATTGACGCACCTGACAAATAAATCTTAGTGCAAGGGGTTAAATTACGCCTCAATCGTATCACAAGTGCATGCAACTTTTAATTCTTTTAATAGCATCGAGGCGTTAACCTTGTGATTGTATCGCAATTACAATAGCAAAGAAAAGTAGATAATAACTCACTTTGCGTTGGCAGCATTGTAGTGGTCGCAGTAGCGTTGTCTCGAGTACGGATGATGATGACCCGCTTAGAACACAAAACACAATAAACCTCGATTCGTGTAATTACTACCGTACGCACAATAAATCACTGCATTAACTGTTCAATAATTGTCAATCGTCGCGAACACAATCGAAATGCGTCTTACGACGATCGCGTTAATGAGCGGTTGTAAATCACGCAATGCGACGGTTCACGATAGACTGAGAGGAAAATTGCGAGCTCGCGTCCTTCGTTGATACGAAACCGCGTAACTAGTCGAGTCCGCTACCGAACGCCTTTGTTTACAATTTTGCGAGCGCCTACCCTCAAGCATTCGTCGCACCCGAACGATAATAAATAATTTCGACTATCATGCTCTTTTGTACTCTTCGATCTATTAATTTTATAAGATAGTTTTGTGGAAGTGTAGTATATTTTATGTTTGACTTGATGTACGAAACGCCGCGAAATACAAATTGTAAGATTCTACGTTTGACGACTTTACTATGTTTGATAGTTCAATACGTTATTGTGTTCTTATTGTGAGTTAATTGTTGTGTTCTCTTAAATAAAAGGATAGTTATTAAAACTCGATTCCTACAGTTCAATACATTATTGTGTTCTTATTGTGAGTTAATTGTTGTGTTCTCTTAAATAAAAAGATAATTATTAAAACTCTATTCCTACAGTTCCTTAAGGGGTAACACAACTCGAGCCCGAAAAGGAGGCCTAACTTTGACAATTTATTTTAGAAGAACTACAAACGGAAAAGAATTTCTTTTCAGAGGGTTTATTTAACATATTTTGAACTACGACAAAATAATTTTTTATTATCATTTTCGTACAAAATGGCGACAGAGCCGATCGGCGGAACCAGCTTTAATAAAAAAAAATCCTAGAGTGGTATTACCCCTTAATAACCCATCAATGTCTCCTGTAAGAATAACAAAGGAACGATTGGAAAAGAGAAATCGTGGGCAATAGAGAATAATATCCGAAACGAGTCTCAAAGAATGAAAAATGCTTGGAAACGACTAACGGGAAAACTCTCTTTACGTTCAGGTACGGGAAAAAAAGGTCGGCAAAGTTTAGCGGAGGCTACGATGACCCAGTTTCGGTTAACAGTGTCTACCATTATGGCCGATTTTTGTGCCGATTTTTATGCTTTTACAAGGACATCGGTGAATAGCCAGACCCAAAAAGTGGGATCCCGTTTCGTGCGTTTCTGGATCAAGGGCCACCTAACGGTGGTTTATTTTTAATAACGGTGTCGTATATTTTACCGGCAGTCTTCCTTTTTTATTTTTATTTATTTTCAGTCCCAAAACTACTACGAGCTTCCAGGTTTTACGCGTTTATGTGCAGCTTTGGGCCGTCCGGACTAATTTCTAACCAAAACAGGGCAGTTTTTTGGCCTCGACCCTCCCAGAATCTGGAACATTTTTTCTGTTGGCAGCAGTAAAGAAATAAACTCGAAGTGTTCCTTTTTTTTGATTTACAACGGAAGGAAAATTATTTTTCCGGTGCTGGGATGTCTTCGGAAACAGAACACTGCCGTTACGTCGGGGAACATTCTAGTTTGCGACGATGATGGTCGTTCAAGGGACCCATCTTTCGAAATATATTGCTTTTATCTATGGAAATCGGTGGAATAATAGAGAACAGAGAGCCTAGGGTAGCATGGTGCGATGCTAATCGCGGGGTAATCTCTTCTAATACACGCTTTCGAATGCGCGACGTGATGCGATGTGCCAGCTGCTAGATCAAGCTTTTTCGACATCCCTTGTTCAAACGAACACACTCGTACCATTGAAAACCGATACCTTCTGTGTGAAAGGACTTGTATATAATAGAAAAAAAGTCGATTGTGTGGGTCGCTGAGGTTACAGGTTAATTAGCGAATCTATAGTTAATTTCCAGTTCGAAGAACTTCAATACTTTGCCTCGTGTTCTGCGTAGAACTCCGTCATTTAATCACTCGTCTAATTCGGTAGTTCTATTTTGTCTCTTGCAATTTTCAAAAATACTCGAAATTCCGGGAATTCTAAAACCGACCTGCCTATTAGTGATTTATGCGAATTCGGTGTCGAGTATCATTTATTATTTTCAAACGCATCGCAGTTAAGCAAACAAACATCGATCGGAGCAACGAATCACCGCGAAAATCCGGTGGCTAGGGTCAGAAAACATCGAAATCCCAGCAACCCTATATCATCGGTGTAGAAAGGAAATACACCACAATGAACGTTTTAAAGTAAACTGTGCGACGCACGCAGCCTCCTCTCGTCCTCTCTCCGTTTCTCCGCTGGTCTACGGCCAAAGCTAGACCACCACCATCCAAATTCAAACATTGCCACCCCCTGTCCGCGTCCCGACGCCCAGCGTTCTTATACACACGTAGAGGATGCTCTCTCGCGCATACACGCGACCGCTCTGGCTGGTCAACGCTCAGACTGACACTGCGTGCGTGAAAGGGCTGCTGGATGCACAAAGAGTGTGGCCAACCGGTTAGTCGGTGTGTTGGTGACTTAATTCGGTGTGAATATATGCAAGCCTCTCGGATCCCGATCCCTGCCACCATCGACGAGCACGTTCGGGGCACACATAGTTCAGCCGATCGCTAGCGATGGCCTCGACACACGCTTCTACATCAAAAATTTCACCGCTCTCCGATCTTTCACGCTTTCGAGATAACGTGTTTCGTCTAACGAGCGACAGGCTATGGCAGCGTTCCAGATGTTCCACGATTATGCAACGTTTGATCGTTAGGCATATTTTCAACGCGGAAAGTCTGTACGATTTTGAGAGATACAAAGATTTCAGAAAATATCAGAAAAAATCGTTAATTTCATAGATCTATGTTTTGAATCGTTTCACGATCGGGTAAGTTATTTATCGTGGAAATATTTTGAAAGATCGGCAAAGCATCGAACGTGGCATACTCGAAGCGACTGCTCGATCCTGCGCTAAATTACTTGAGCGCGGAGACTGGCCAAATTACTTGAACTCGCGACACAGAGAATCGAATGGCCATCACTAGCGACCGGTCGGCTAATTTCAATACCTCCGCTCCCAACCCCCTGCCTCCGTTTGCACCCAACCCCCTTTGGTTCCCGTGTACGTACCACCACGTCGATGTCGGTTGGTCTGGGTGACGTTCGGCCACGTACGGACACACGAGGGGGTTGTGGATTGGTCGTCGATGCGTGTCGAGGGGGTGGATTGTTTCGGTTCGTGTGCGTGTGCACGCGTACAACACAACGCGGATGTATTTGACGCTGGAATATTCCCGTCACCCGTTGAGAGGTGGCGGTGGGTGGTTTAGGGGAAAAAAAGGAACGAGATTCTGCACAACAGGAAAGCACGGTGTAGCACGGATAAACGGGTTTTCCAGCGACGACGAGAGATCACATCCTCCAATTAATGCGTCTCGACTTAACGCTTCGCTTACCTCGTCCATCTGGAGGCGTTTTCTCCCTCTTCCCACCCCTCCCACGACATATTTTTTGCTAATTAGTCGATCGACTCGTCAACGCTGCTCCCCCTTCTCTCATCGATTTTTCTCTTGCTTTTCTTTTTTGAGGTATTTTTTACACTTCGAGAAATACGAACTGAATTTTCTTCCTGTGTGTCAAATTAATCGCACTAGATTTTACGCCCTCGGTTTACTATATCTTTAATCAAATTATTATCAAGCACCAACGCTACGAATGAAATCAAAGTGGCATACAAATTTTTCAGTTAATACTACATATAATGTGCATTGTATAGCACTTCCAACTACTTTAAACATTTATTTAACGGGACAATATTTAAATATTTTATTGAATCTTCTAAAACACGTCTTTTACAATTCAAGGAGGTAACAAATCAATTGAACATAAACGGCATTCATACATTTCCATTCGTCTCCACTTGCAACACCTTCATTCACTCCGTTCACACTTCAAGAAATTATAATAAACATACAACGGGTATAAATAATATTAAACCAATAAATGCCTACAATTGATTAGTCACAATATTTTTTAATCATCATGAACAAACTACTTTGCAAACGACCCACAAAATAAATGTTATATCTCCCTCGACTACTTTTGATATCAATAAACAAACGCGATGCTGTATTATTGCAAAGAGTAAATCAATAAGCGGATCGTCGAAAAATGAACTTGACATAGGAGTCTGTTGCAACGCAAACGTATTCCGACTAACAGGTGTCCCTAATTTACGCGACATTTACCTGTAAGCAAGAGAGCGAGCGAGCTGTATCGAGTAAAAACAAAACACGAAGATCGGCGCAATCAATTCCGATGTCGGTACCGTTTCCCAGACAGGGATCCATTTCCTCCCGATGCAACGGGATTTACAGCGCCTTGCAGCCTGTAATTTCGGAGCCGATGTTGGAAAGACGGGAATGCGACGACGTGGAAACAGGGTCAAAGGGGGTGAGTGGCTTCCAGCGAGAGGGTGAAACTCTGCGCCAGCACCCTTGCTCGCGAGCCTTCCACGCTGAACACTCCTCTACAAGAGCGGCTAATTTTGATTCACGATTGCCCTCGCAACGGCTACACGCCCCGCTACACCCGTTCATCAACCCGGCTAGCCAAGGCCTCGTTGCTGCTTCCATACCAATACGGCAACCCTAATTTTCTCAGCGCCTCCTGCGTGTCCGGCTAAGGGAAAAAATTGCTAATACTTCGCTGGAAAATTGGAAAATCCATCCTTCGATACGTTGATATATTGTCAACCTTTGCTTTCTATCTGCGACTTTACAGCTATAGGAAAATCTGTTACATCGAAGAGTCGATCAAGTAGCCGGTAAAGAGTTTACGAGCACGAGCTTAGAGCAACGAAGCGTAAAACAGAGATAGTTCCTTTATAAATTGACTAGCCATCGGTTGCCCGCGCGTACGAGCGATTCTTTTGCCCTGTTTTACGCCGTTTACCATAAATCCTGAATTCTTTACGGCACTCGCGTTAACGAGTAGCATTCATACCTTTACGCTCCTTTACGCTTCGCTCGCGCACAAATATATAGAACG